ATAAGTGAGTCCTTTTAGCTGCTATATAAGTGAGTCATTTAGCAGCTGCAAAAATGAGTCATTTAGCAGCTGCAAAAATGAGCTATATAAATGAGACATTTAGCTGCTATTTAAGTGAGTCATTTAGCTGTTCCATAAATGAGTCATTTAGCTGTTCCATTAATGAGTCATTTAGCAGCTGCAAAAATGAGCTATATAAACGAGACATTTAGCTGCTATATAAGTGAGTCATTTAGCTGCTATATAAGTGAGTCATTTAGCTGTTCAATTAATGAGTCATTTAGCTGTTCAATTAATGAGTCATTTAGCAGTTGCAAAAATGAGTCATTTAGCAGCTGCAAAAATGAGTCATTTAGCAGCTGCAAAAAAGAGCTATATAAATGAGACATTTAGCTGCTATATAAGTGAGTCATTTAGCAGCTACAAAAATGAGTCATTTAGCAGCTGCAAAAATGAGCTATATAAATGAGACATTTAGCTGCTATATAAGTGAGTCATTTAGCTGTTCCATAAATGAGTCATTTAGCAGCTGCAAAAATGAGTCATTTAGCAGCTGCAAAAATGAGTTATTTAGCAGTTGCAAAAATGCGCTATATAAATGAGACATTTAGCTGCTATATAAGTGAGTCATTTAGCTGTTCCATAAATGAGTCATTTAGCTGTTCCATTAATGAGTCATTTAGCAGCTGCAAAAATGAGTCATTTAGCAGCTGCAAAAATGAGTCATTTAGCAGCTCCAAAAATTAGTCATTTAGCAGCTGCAAAAATGAGCTATATAAATGAGACATTTAGCTGCTATATAAGTGAGTCATTTAGCAGCTGCAAAAATGAGTCATTTAGCTGCTATATAAGTGAGTCATTTAGCTGCTATATAAGTGAGTCATTTAGCTGTTCCATAAATGAGTCATTTAGCAGCTGCAAAAATGAGCTATATAAATGAGACATTTAGCTGCTATATAGAGAGTCATTTAGCTGTTCCATAAATGAGTCATTTAGCTGCCTATGAGTTTACCAACTCAACATGTTTGCCAAATAAGTATGAGTCACTTATCTGCCAATAATGATAAACGAGTCGAGTCGCATTTTGTCTTATGTATGATTCACCATTTACCCCCTTGTTTACCATTTTGACCGGACTTGTTTGCTGTGCTGACTTATTGAGCAGACCACCAACTCATTCAAGAACGGAATCAATGGACTCATGAAGTATGAGTCTGATATATGGTAAACGAGTCCAGAGTCAGCTCAAGAAATCAGCAAAATAAAAACTCTACATTTACACTAGTTTATTTCTATCACAGATATTGAATCAACAGTACAATATACAATATTAATATCACAGTACATTCACAGATATAACAGAGCAAATTTATAAGTTTCAATTGGAAAGTTCCATCATTTCATGGTTATTATTGTGCTATCCAGTTAACAATTTCAGGTTCTATCCCATGCCTTTTACCACATGATATCCCATGAATAAGACTTTGATGTCCTTTCCCAGGTCTTTCAAAAATATATAAGATTACAGATGACAAAAATCACCTTATCTTTTACCACAGGACACAGCTACAATGCCTTTCAAATCTAAGCAGGATTGTTTGAGACAATTGCTGAATATATGTCCATTAACTAGGTATCTGAAGTTTCTTTAATACTTAACTACACATTACCATATGGTCAAAGTGTCCACGCCTAAATTTCAAGCAACAGAAGACCTCCTAAATACAGCTTTAATATCCTTCCAAACATCTTTCCAATTAATAGTCACATCATCATATCTATAAACACTATGGGTTACATGTGATTGGAAATAAGCTCTATATAGTCGCTCTATATCTTCTGGCTCTGTAGGCAGGTATTGCTTACAGTTCTCACAAATTTTCTGCACATCTCGCTGGTGATTGTAATGTGCAAACTGTTTGTCTATAAAGGGCACTATCATATTGTATTTATCTATCATATCATTTATAAATTCTATGGTGACAGAATGACGTTCTATTTGAATTTCCCACAGTTTAGTGTTAATATCATGATTGTTTATTATTTTATATCGTAACACTGCTAATTTCTCTCTAGCCTCTCTCATTTCTCTTCTGAAATTGACAAAAAATTAATCATAAAACAGTTATCAATAACAGGGCTTCTAAATCACAAGGAAAATGATATATACTTAAAGGGGCATTCTGATTTTTTGTAAAACATTTTCTTTATCAAAAACGGCGTAAATTATACCTGAAAATATTTCTATTTATATCTATGTATCTACTTGTTCAAACTGAATTTGTTTTAAAAGGGTTAATTGAAAAAAACTGAGAGTACTAATTGTTAATTAAGCAGTTTGACCTAGTTTCAGTGTTTGGCTTTATAATACCTCGTTATATTTAGTTGAAATAGTTAAAAATCGTAGGAGACATATTTCTCTACAATTAGGCGTTTATTTTACTCAAATCCGTGCACTAGTTTTCTCTTGCAAAAAGCATAACAAACTTTAAAAGGTTACGTAATCTTTTTGGCATTTTGGTATTAAAATATTAACAACTGGATTATTTTAGTTAAAACTTTCAGATACGTTATGGGATGCTTTCTATAGATTTTAGTTTATAGTTCTCACAAATTTGAGCAAACAAATTTTCCGACCTACACAAAAGCAGAATGTCCCTTTAAATAAATCTTTATAGGTCAAAGTACAAATAGAAATTCAATACAAATAGCAAATCAAACCCCTTAGCCAAAACTAGCTACTAGGAAACCCTTGACATCAATGCCATGAGATGAGACAATTATTTGAGTTCTCCCCATGAACATGAGCTTTGCGTGTAAATGGTCCACCGATTTTTTGCAAATCTAAAAAAATTTAAGATGGGTTTCCTTATTTTTTAGTGTCAAATTAAGCAAACTATTTGATTAATTGGTGTTTTTAATGAATTACCATGTATTCTTAATCAAATCATTATGTTCTTATTGCATATAATTAAGAGTTTTAACCAATCATAAATGTCCATGTATGTACAGTTTGGATAAACAAAAAGACTTTTTGACCTTTCTTTCTCTTCTTTTTCCAAGTCATTAGAACACCTCTACTTTCTATTCATATAAGTATTAGCATTTTCATTTTCATAAATTAAAATAAGGCAACCCATCTTTAAGCTAATGCTACTGTCTCTGAAGACATTCTCTCCCCGCTTGCTGATATGAATACTGAAAAAATCAGATGTAAAATTCCATTCCTATCTTACCTGATATCTGACTGTAATGTGATCCATTCAGGAGTAAAACCATTATTAATCAGTATTTTATTGAGATTATGTGTAGTACTATCTACTAGAGGATTTCTATCAACATATTCTAATGGCTTCCCAGAACCAGTTAAATTCTCAAAATCACCTTTATTCATTGACTCTTGTATCAAATCTTCTACTACTCTCTCTATAGCATTACTGAAATTAAAAGAAACAATTTTTAGTTGGAATACAGTGTGCTGTACTGTTAGAGGGTTAGATTATTGATACAGTAAATTGAAGCAAATATACCAGGTACTGTTTCAGACATGATTTTCTTCGGGTGCGGAGACAAAAACAGTCTTGATAGGCGATATCTGTCTCCGATTATGTTATTGTCTGCAAGTTAGAGCGTCAACATCCAATCAGATTAACTATCCTTTTAATTACTTGATCCACACGTGATTATCAACATGGCGGAAAATGACTGACTTAGTGTTGAAACAGTTAGTGAATTTTACGAACCGGGTAATCGTCAGCATTAACCATTTGTTACCCGGAAAATCCCTGTTAATTACGGCGGTATCTCACCGTTGACTAAACTAGAGTAAGTGTAAATGAGTACCCAGAAATAATAAAAATAATAACAAAACTTGCTCTTTTTTTACTTCTTAAAAAATTGACGGTTAACCGATTATCTCAAATCAGACCCAGTTACCTGTGAAATACTACCCGAAATCAGTTAACTGATTAACTGTTTCATCACTAGACTGACTGGAGATTTTTGGCTAAATTTGGGAAATCCCTTGCAGTGTGCAATGAAGAAAATGTTTAAAGGTTTCAATGAAATGATTTAGTTACCTTATCTTAACCTTTTTAGCCTCTTTTTTATCTTTAACAACCAGTGCTGATTCCGTCTGGTGGGCCAGTTTTTCTATTCGATGTTCCTGGATATTAGAAGCAGCCCTCCAGACTCTGTAAGAGTTGTACTGTTTACTTCTTTGACTGGGTGTACCAAATCCTATACCCTGAAAAATGACAGGGAATTATCACATTCTGGTGCCTTGGTCGGTACATTTATGGGAACTCTGATGTCATCCAAAAATTCTCAGCAGCTTTGTTGAAATCAGAAAAATCAGAAAATATTTAATATGAGTTATTGCCCTTGTTCTTGAAACGCTCGTAAACACTCTAGAAGGTGCAATTCATGACAGATTTTGATGAAACTTGGTGTGAGTGTTTATTATGCCCAAGGATGAACCCTATTTAAAATCAGTAAAATCGAAAAATAATTAGTATGAGTTATTGCCCTTGTTCTTGAAAACGTGTTCAATCTATAGCTCGTGAAAACTCTAGAAGACAAATATTCAATCTTCAGCGTGGTACTGAATAATAAAACCAAGTTTTGTCAAAATCCGGCAAGAGTTTTCAAGAACAAGGGCAATAACTCATACTAAATATTTTTCGATCTTTCTGATTTTCAATAGGCTTTATCCTTAGGTGAAAAAAAACACTCAAGCCAAGTTTCGTTAAAATCCGTCAAGAATTGTGCCTTTCAGAGTGTTTACAAGCTAAAAATTGAACACGTTTTCAAGAACAAGGGCAATATTTTTCCATTCTTCTGATTTTCAATAGGGTTTATCCTTGGGTGATTACGAACACTCACACCAAGTTTCGCCAAATTCCGTCAACAGGGTTCATCTTCATTGCATGTGAGTATCACAAATACGGGTTTTGACATGGTATTATTATCCTGTATTAAACTAAGCCAACTACACTTCGATTGCTGGCATTTAAATCTGACCAATCAGATCGGTAGAACAGAAATGAGGTCATGTAAATAAAACACAAGATCGCTTTGCCGCCGCCTGTTTGAAGAGATAAGAACACATTCTTTCCAAGTAAATATTTCAAAGTAAGGTTTAATTTTCTCTCAGCTTCAATTCTTTAACGAAAATCTTACCCAATTCTGTACTGTCCATATTCATCAAAATATGTAATGGCACGCTGCTTTTGTTTTCCTAACATTTGCAAACAAAGCTTGATAACTAGTGATTTGTTTTGATTGGCTGAAATTTGCTACCGATACAGTAGGGCCAACTTTGATTGGACAATATTTAGCTATGAATATGTAATATTTTTCACTTGTGTTACCACGGCCCCGAGAAAGTATGACGATTGGGGGTGTGGTTTGGACACGATGGTGACTATATAAAACACTGTTTCTGGTTAGTAAGCTTACCTCATGAGAAAGATATTGTCGATGTTGTGGTGCTGTATGTTTTATATCAAAATAATATTGATCATCTCCATCTTCCTCGACCACCATTTCACCCTTCCTACTTGACTGAAATAAAACACAGGTTCAACTGTACAAGAACTTTCTTAAGTTTATATCATTATTGTTTTTTCATTAAAGGGACAGGTTCGCCATCTGTTAGACCAATTGTGCTTCAGTCTCAGAAAGGGGAATTATTTAGCTAAGCTTATCAGTAATAGTGTTCACAGCTCACCATCGAATCCATGTGTGTCCAAAATTATCCCCGTTAAAAAGTTAAAACTATGACTCATCCTTTCTTGAGACACCGCCATAGATAGCACAGACATAGAAATAGAAAGTGAAATTTCTAGTTTGAGGTATTTTTGAAGGAATCATTCGTTTTTCGTTCATTTCTATTACTATTGACATATATTCAAGGCTCAAATCAACCCAGTTTTCAGACTACTATACTATATAAATAATTTAAACTAATCAGCATAATATGCTCCCACTTAAAAAAAATTATAGATATAGGTATAAGCTTACCAAAATAGACTGGTAGGCATCTTGAAGCTGTGAAAATTTCCTGGCATCTGCAGAAGCTGTGCCACTATCTGGATGGTATTGTTTAGCTAGTTCTAGATAGGCAGATCGAACTTCTTCTAAATCAGAATCTGGGTCCACATCAAGCACAGAATAGGCCAAATTCAAATCAGATTGTAACTTGACTTCAGCAAAAGCAGTTCTTTTACTGGTAGAAAATTGTTTCAAATTTTTTGTTGAATTTGGTACAATTCTGTAATTCAGAATGGTGGAAAGTTGCTGTAAAGCATAGACATTGGGTCCATGGCCTCTGCTTATGACAGCTATACGAAATAATTGCTGGTAGAGTTTATAATGTTGAAAATGGTTCATCTTTCATGGTAACTTTGGGCTGAATAAAGAAAAGTGAAAAATGACTGTCTTCACATCAAATTTTGTAAAGTTCTTTTGAGTTATTTTGAATAACACTCTCAAAACTACATTTAGGTGCAGGATATGAGTTTTAACCCATTTTTTCAATAATTTCAATTTGTCAAAACCTTGACATTATTAAACTTTCTGTGACACATTATGGACCTCTTGCAAAAGACAAAACGGAATTCACTCAGTAAATTATTTGATCAATTGTGGCCTGGTCTTATTTTTGATGTTGCATAATGGTAACGTACGGTGACATTCTAAAGCTCAAATTGAAGTGTTTGTTTGCTGGCAACATTTTTCCTGAAAGTTTCCCAATAAAATAAATGTTACGAATCAATCACGAAGTTCTAGAGGCTACTAACTCTGCATCCAGACGCAGAAATGAAATAAATCTACTCACCGGAGAGTTTGTTCACAATTTTCTATCTGAAAGAGTTACTTGCCCCTGGTACATTAAATTATAGAATCAGAACATAAACACAAAACGAAACTAAGTGATTTTAGTGTAATGAGACGAGTCTCTGTTAGGGTGTAATGAGACGTACAATCTTAAACTTGAAAAAATTGCACCTTATTTCTCAGGGGAGTCGGAAATGTGGGTCGTCGTTTTGATAAATATGACTATCTTCTTCTTGTGACTGTGTGAAATACTCAATCTTCTCTTCTAATTCTTGAATACCTGATTCCAATGTGCATCTGATATACCCACATTCATTTCAAAATAAGCACAACAGCAGTGAAATACAATCTTAAGTGCTCGAAACTTTGGAGGGTGTCTTGTGGTCTGTTTTGAGTAGAGTGAAAAGGAAGACAAGCTCCCATGACACAAGTAGGCTATAGACCTATCTAATGTTATAGCGCATTAAAAAAAAACTTTAATAAGCCAAAGCTAAAAAGTGAAAATTAAATCTTGGACCTTAAAGAGTCCGGCTTTTAAAGCAAATCTGAAGTAGGCCTAGACTAACATGTTACCAGTGGCGTTTCAAGAAAACATTAGTTGAGGGGGCCAAGCAAGGGCCACAAAATTGTCCAGGGGGGCCACAGGCTATTCTTTTACTTTGTAAAATGATAAAAATTTTGTAAGTGGGGACTCCCCTGTAGAAACCCCATAGCACTACTTCTACATGAAATTTGCCTAAAAAACACTTGACTCCCTCACCTACAATCATTGCAGACGGATGGAAGATCATTTCAAAAATTGACTTTTATTCCTTTTAAATAAGTTGAGATGACAGATATAAACAAAGCAGACAAAATAAAATTAATACATTAGTCATCGCAATACTGATCATAACAAAAATACATCATATTGGTGTTCATTCTCACTGTTTCTTCATATTCTAGGGCAAATTTCACAGTATTTCTATTATAATTTTTTTTTATATTAACATTCGGTTGCCAATTCTATAATAACTTAGCAAAAATTCAAATTAAAAAATATTGTGATCTGATTGGTTGCAAAACTTGATTAAAAATTAACTCTCAATGTCTTAATTAGAAATACAGTAATCTGATTGGTTAATAAAACTAAATTTAAATTAAATCTTAGTGATTGACCAATCAAATTGAGTGGAATTATAAAATTAAAATCAAGTTTTCATGAATTTACCAATTGATATTTAGCAACTAAAACTACAAATAAAACTAAAAGTGGAATAAAATTAAAAGTAAAGTTTGAAAATATGTTCTTCATACATCCCTGAATTGTGTATTTTTGTTAAAACTAAGAAATTAAAAACATGGTAGGAATAAACTGTATTTGTTCAAGATCAACCTGATTTTAATATAACTTCAACAGAAAAGACAAAACTCTTCAAAATTTCCTACACCTAGAATTTTAATGACCATAAACGACAAAAATTCCAGCCATTCCACAAAGAAATTCCTGATATTTCAAGGAGTTTCCTGACTTTACAGTCGGCCTAGGTTTTCTCAGAATATCTTGACCTTGAAAGTGGAATTCCTGAGAATAATGTAAATTATTTATCACATGTTTTGGACAAACTCTTCTCATATTTTTATCAACTGTTTCAACAGAGAAAATGTGACCATCTGATTTTTTCTCATCAAAAGTAAAGTCCGATTGATATTAATAACCCGGGTGCATTTGAACCTTTTTGGGGTTTTTGGTTTTTACGCGTATGGGTCTTTACATGGGTTGTGAGAGGAAACATTGAAACGAATATGACTACGTCACTACCCATTTATAGAATTTTGAGTCCATGCAGTTAACAACTATTGTGGATCAGTATCCCCCATGGGAGCAATGGGGACGTTGCATTTAGTATTCTGTACTCCCACTGGTGGCTGTACAGATAGGACTATATATTTACACCACTCTTCAGAATTCAAATACCTGATGGTGCCAGCACACAAATGGTCTTGGTCGGTGTTTTTTGTCACCAACAAGAATCTTCTTGTTTCGCTAACCGGTTTACGAGCACCCGAGGAGACAAAAAATCCCCAATCGGTCGTTTTCCCTATGTCGATAATCACGTGCAATTGAAAGGAAAACGAATCTGATCGGATGATGATGGTCTGTCTTGCAGAAGGCAAAACAATCGGAGACAATTATCAAACTAGTTGATATTATAAATCCTGTTGGCAACCTGATAATTTTGGTGTGAAAGAGCTGGCACACCTAAGATTTTGCTCAAGATTCGAGTTGCCAATAAAAATCATCGTCAAAGATCGTTTGTGTGCCCGCACCATCAGGATGTATAGTTAACCTGTCTGGGGCTATATATGATAATAACAATTACTTTATATTGGGTACTGATTACAACTGGGGACAAAAGGGGGCATATATTAACAAGGGTTAAAATTGGCAAGACATCATTAAGCACTGTAAAATATAGTCTGAACTTCAGCAAACTACTTACCACTGAATTAAAGGGATATTGTGCTCTAATTATTTGCTTAACTAGCTGATTTAACTTCTTCAACAAACGTGTCACTTTTCAAAATTTAATTTTGACTTCAGGTTTGATTAAATAAACTTTTTTAAATTCTTTATACCTGTATGATCAAGTAATCAAGCAAAGCACATAAACTCGAAGTCAATTTCCTTTCTGAAAAGTGTTACAGGTAACTGTATAAATTTGTATCAGCTAGCAAAGTAAATTCTGAGGACTATATCCCTTTAAAAAAACTATGTACACTCCCTTAAGCTTTACTTATATCTTGAACATATTATAAATAGCCCACGATGCATCAAATCGTGATAAAAAATAGAATTATGCCCTGCATAATAAAATTCAAACCCTTCATTTAAAATGAACTTGCCCTGATATCAATTTTCTCAATTTTTCAGTATGCAAGTCTTAACACCCCTTTTTTTTTATTGAGCTCTACCTCACATGCATTCATTCCATATAAAGATATCTTTTTGAAAGAGTTCATTAACAACTCAAAGGGGTATTTAGTTTCATGTGAGAACTACATATAATGGTTTAATCCACAAGCTAAAAAATTTACTTGGAAAAATATTCACCCTGACAATGACCTAATTGAGTTCATTAGTTACACCAAATCTTCATAACCAAATTAGTGTTCATGGGATATACCTTAATCAAAATAAGTATTCACTGAAAACTTCACACCAAATACGCCTTAATTACCAAATTAGAGTTCAATAAAAACAAAACACTTGACAAATATGCCTTAATAAGTTAATTCTCAAAACAAAAATTCAAAACAATTAGTTCTTAATAAATACACCTTCAAAACAACTGCTGGATGAATACGCCTTAAAAAAAATCAGTCCTTAAAAAATATGCCTTTAAAAGAATTGGTAGATGAAAATATGCCTTATAAACAACTAGTGCTTAGTAAATAATATGCCTTGGTTACTAATATTAATAATATTATGTTAAAATTAAATTATGTTAAATGTATAAACACACAAAAATATTAATGTACATCTGTACACGAGAAGTCCACTTTAAAATCTGTAATTTGCACAAGTTTTAATGGCCGTCTTAATGGGATTGTAAAGAAGATTTCTAAATTTTTTATGTGTATGAGGGACACTGATAGCATCCATTTGCACTATTCCAATTTTCAATTAGATGTCTATGGTTCCTGCAATTTTACTAAAACTAAGCGTTTTATGAAATCACTAATTGCAAAATATGCTTTTATAAAATAAGGCCTTTCTCGATTAGTGACGTCTTTAAACACTTAGTTAAAGTGGAATTGGAATGGTGCAAATTGATGATGTCAATGTTGCCAATACACATACAAAATTTAGAAAAACCTCTTCACAATCCCTTTAAGAAATCACTAATTGCAAAATATGCTTTTATAACATAAGTCCCTTCAGGATAAGTGATGTCATAATTCACTTAGTTTCAAAGGAATTGCAGGATCCATATATGACTGATTGAATATTGGAATAGTGTAAATTTAGAAAACCTTTAATGTTTGTGTTTTGAAATGTTACGAGACCTGCATCAATATTTTTGCTAGACTAAAAGTATTAATTTAAGCCTTTTAACATGATTTGTTTCTCAGAAACACAAATAAACTAACTTTTCATGTAAAAATACATCAATTTACACAATAAAACACAAAATCTTGTCACAAAAATACAATATTATCAACCCAAATAAACATATTATTATTATTAATATTTACAATGTTATTATGACATCCTTTGAAGTCATGGGTCAAGGGGCAGAGGTCGCAGGTCAAGGGGATTTTTAAAATGAAAATAATAACTTCGAATAATTCATGAAGGGACAGTTGTTTATACATGTCCATTTGGAATTTAGCCTTGTAAATATTTTCATGAAGTGGAGCCCCTGATGATTAAATCCCAGAATTCATACTTTAGAGAGTAAAAATCACACTAAAAACATTGAAGCTATTTTACAACGATTCATATATCAACAATATTCTAAAATATATCATCTATTTTCATGTAATGTATGATACAGATATGTTTTTTTAAGTAACAAAGGGGAAAAATCAGCCAAAATTTCATCATTAGACAATAAATTCATAAGTAAGTTGATGAGATTTTGTTAGGTTTTTTCATCATAAAAAAACAGTCTGCTATTTCAGGCAAAATACCATTGTTAAACAATACACTCATTAACATGTCAATGAAATTTTGGCATGTTTTTTTCATTCACAAAAGCATCTACTATTCCATCCGAAGTTTCATCTTCAGACAATACTAAAATATAGAGGCTCCAGCACCCCACAATTTAAAAACAATTGACAATGTGAATGGGGTCGTAGAAGGGGTTAAAATAACACATCCATATATTATTATGTACAACGCATATATTCAATATAACATGCCAATCAAGGATAAAGAGACTGACAACTCAAATCACCCCTTTTTTTTATTAATGAACTAATCTCATCACTCTTAACCAACTAACAATATGCATGTGCGGATGAGTCCATTACTAAATTTAGGGGTTTTGAGTCTTTTCCCATTTTATCTCACCTTGATCACGATATCAATATTTCTGGCACAGTTATTTTAAAATATTCAGATATCACGATTAAGTTATCACTGTTTAATAAGGATTTCACTAGTTAAGATTTTTCCATTTGTACCTGATAGTAGAAAATTCTCTCAAAGGATTAGTCTTTGGAATTTTACCTGATTACTCAAAATTCTCAGAATTTTCCATTTTTGAAATAAATCATGGATTTCTGTTATCAATAGCAAATTCAATGCGCATAGGCAAAAGCATTTTTTGCGGATTTCTCTTACCTGATTTTGAGAATTTTTTCTAGGAGATCAATAAAAATGGATTAATGGATATCTTCATAAAAATCTTAACTCTCCACAATTGGATAAAACCTTTCATTAGAAATCAATTAGAAACTAGCATCTAATCGATTCCCTTTTCCAATATTCACAAAAGATTTGGCTTGAGGCATCGCGAATATTGTGATGTTTTTTCGGACAGAATGTTATCACAAAATAATATGCTTACAATTATATACAATTATTATGTACAGATTAAGACTTTTTGCAAACATGTGACATAACGATGTCACGTGACATCATGTGACCATGGCCACTACGCTTTGCTTTCTTCGTGTTCTGGAGAGCTCAGATTGACCTCACTGGGAGGGTCGACAATAATCTCTGGAGGTCGAATCAGTGATTCTTTCTCTTCGTGAATATCATCGTCAATATAAAACTTCACTGGTGCTTTCTTTTTGGGTGACTCACGATGTTCTTCATTGCTACCCGGACTGCCAGGAATTGTGGGTAGATTATCACAACTTGTTTTGTCACTTTTATCTCTTGAGGATTTCTTGCTGCTGTGCTTCTTTTTTCTGCTGCATTAAAAATAAGAAAAAACCAATGAATGGAATGGAGTTTTACATCCGATGCTTACGTGGGATTACATGACAAAAAATGAAGGCACATATTTATAGGAACCACAGACGTCTGTTTGAAAATTGGAATGGTGTAAATTGACGCAATCAGTGTCCCCAATACACATAAAAATTTAAGAAAATTTCTTTACAATCCCTTTAAAAAAATAGATTAAAATTGATTGTGTTCAGAGGGAGACATGATTTTTTTTTAAATTTTATACCGGAGCAAGAAAAATAAAATATGCACTCACTTCTTGGAGCTTGAGTGTCTCGATTCATCATTCACTAAATTTGAGGAAGAATCATTTGCTACAATGGTTCTCCACATGGCAGTTTTGGACATCTCCTCGCTGATATTGACAGGATCTAGTTCTGCACTGATTGTAATATTTTCAACTGGTTGTAATGGCAACTGTATTCCGTTACCTTCTATTAAACTACGTCTCTCCTATAAAAACAAAAACAGTGCCAATTTAGACAATAAAGATCTGTACAAGCAAGACAATTTCACTAATAAAAAAATCTGGTCCTAAACATGGTAAAATTGGGAGTAAAAGTTGTATAGTAGTGGACTCCTCCAAAGAGAAGTACCATCAGGTGTTTCAAAAAGAGTAAGCATGGTCTGATAACTGCCACTACTGTTTAGGTTAGCCTCATGAGATACAACCAGATCAATTTATGCTCGCAAAAAAAAAAAAAAAAAAAAGAAATCTGCCAAGATTCAAGAAACAGATAGATCATAAAAAGTAAAAAAAGTAAAACAGGAAGCTGGATTTTCCATCAAGAAAATAAGCATATAAAACCAGAAATAGAAATGAACTTTTGACATTAGTAATGTATATTGAAGAATATTTTTCCAGGACAGTCTACACTAAATTTTCAAATTAAAGGATTTGCAAAAAATGTTGTCTGCTTTACAGACTGGTCATCCTTTGAGTAAGCTGGCATTTCATTGGTCACTTTTTGCTATCAACAGGTCATCCGACATCACATAACCTCAAAGAGAATTCAGTGCAAAACGAAAAGGAAGACGACTGGATATGCTTAAAAAAGCAGACTAAACAACCCAGTCTTAAAAAGTCAATCATATGCTATGTAGGCTATATATGAAAGAGATGAAAATGAAACAGCTTAAAAAAAACTCTCCATACCTCATCTTTCTTCTTGACTTCATCTTCTTTTTCTCTCTTGTGAGCTTCAGGCATAATATCATCTAGCCATTTTAACTCGTGCTGGGTGAAATAGAAATCCATTCCTTTCCTTACAAAACACATAGCTAGCACCTTGAAAAAAACACAAATACCCATAAGCTTTATATTTACCTAATATAGTCCATATATTTAGAGCCTCTGGAAGTTAAAACTGACATTTTCTTATGCATTTAATGCTATATTGTGACTATCAGTTTGAATCTAAAGATAGTGGACCACAGCCACGGCATGCGGATGGTAAATATTCAAGATTTTGGGGCAAGGGCAATAACTCTGCTTCTAAAATAGCTCAAATTCGAACTTGATCTTCATTTTATGAATATGTATACACATACCGAATTTCATCTGATTCCATCAAAAAATCTAGTTTTTAGAGTGTTTACAAGCAAATGTTGACGGACGGACTGACAGACCTTCGTTTCATGTATATGTAAGCACATACTGTATTTCATTTGATTCCTTCAAACACTCTAGTTTTTAGAGTGTTTACGAGCAATTGATGTTGATAGAAGCACTTACTGTATAGAGGTTAAAGGGCGATAACTCCTCAAAACTGAAGTAAGAGGCCTAAATCTTGAAAATACCTTAAATTTTATCAGAAGTAAACTTTCGATTTAGGTCCAATAACATCCATTTTAAGTTTCATCAAAATCGGTTGAAAACTAAGAGAGTAATAGCATATTCAAGATTTTGGGGCAAGGGCAATAACTCTGCTTCTAACGGTCGAAAATAGCTCAAATTCGAACTTGATCTTCATTTTATGAATATGTATACACATACCGAATTTCATTTGATTCCATCAAAAAATCTAGTTTTCAGAGCGTTTACAAGCAAATGCTGATGGATTGACAGACCATTGGACAGGGGTGCCGACAACAAGTCCACATAGAGAGATATGGGCGTATAAAAATTCATTGCCGTATCATTAACTTTCACAGTAGATGGTTTACATTGGTCGTTCAAATACATTTTTGAAAATCACTTTTATGAGAATTGGAGCTTCAAAATAGATCTGTTGGTCTTTAAGAATGGTTAACTGTAACTGTACAATCATCATTAGGCAAGTATATACTAAACAAAGTGCTGAGTTGATAAAGCCAGTCTCAGAGTGTCATCATGTGAAAAACAACAAACTTACCATAATGGGAAAGGCAATAGAAATAGCCTTGATAGTCTTGATCACCCAGAGTACTATTAGACAGAATATTTGTATAGCTGTGAACGTATGGACTCGTTTCGTGCGTACATGACGTAAATACATCAAATCGGGCTGATATTTTGGCGGCATGAAGAGGATCAAGAAACGATCCACCAATTCCATTCCTTTGAGAGACGACACACCCATATACAAAAATACACCAAATAAAACTGGCATTGGAATAAACTGAAAAAAAAAAAAATGGAGTTGTAAATCCTACTTTTCTTTGTTTCTTTTCTATAATCTCTACATATTGAGCAAATACATGAAGTTTATATCATTATAGGCAAATCTAACATCATGCTGTGTACAGTGGGGTAAACATTAGCTTACCAACTGTTGGAAAATCTTTCATGTGCACAGCAAATAGGACAAAGGTTGTGGACAGCTTCATTATAGACAAAGATAAACTTACAGAGATTGTAAAGAAGTTTTCTAAATTTTTTTTATGTGTATCTTGGACACTGATAGAATAGAATCAATTGGCACCATTCCAATTTTCAATCAGACGTCTGTGGTTCCTGCAATTCTACTAAAACTAATTGTTTGATGATGTCACTAATCAACAAAGGCGTTATGTGATTTTTCACAATTAGTGGCGTCATCAAACACTTAGTTTTAGTGGAATTGCAGGAACAACAGACAGTTGATTAAAAAATTGGTATGGTGCAAATTGATGCTATCAGTGTCCCTGATACATATAAAAAATTTAGAAAACCTCTTTACAATCTCTTTAAGGTATTATCTCCACCAATGCTGTGATTGTTTGTCTGCCAATAAGATGAATCAGAAGAACTTACCAACAGAACTTTAGTGAGCAATACAGATAAACCAATCATCAGAAAAATCATAATACCAGTCAGACGATTCTCTCTGAAATAACATTAATCATCACAATCACGCATTCTGATGCCATTCTGCTTTAGGAATTGAATTCAGAAAAAACAAACAAAAATCTGTACTAGCAAGACAAATACGTTAATCAAAATCTTCTCCACAGTTTGACAAAATCAAGAGTAATCCTTGCATAAAACGGATTCCATGAAAGAGAAGTACCATCAGGTGTTCTGAAAAGAGTAACCAGAGTCTGCCTCGCATGATACCTACCACTACTACATTGGTATAAGTAAAATATCTGTTTTCATTATATTCACTGACCAAAACCCAGTTGAAGAGTGATATGAGTTCTTCTTTACTCTAATGGTTTTCACATGCAAGAGACAGTCTAGATTTTAGGTGTCTGGGAGAGGTTGAGCATGTCATGCCCAAGAAACACCAGCTCCATATCAATCTAAATCAATCGAATACAAACCTGATACCAAGAAATTTTGGTTTTTCACCAGGAGCGGCACATTTGGATTCTTTTTTCAAGCTGTTAACATGATTAATGGAAAGCACAGTGGCAGCAACAAACCATGGTAGACCCAATAAAGAGTTAACAATAATCAATACTGCTACTATAAATAGATCTAGATGGTAACCATGACCTTTCTACAAGTAGAAATTATCATTATCATATCATTAGTGTATCATTATCATACAATATATCATCATCATCATTATCATTATCATTACATAATAAAATCATATATCATAACAAGAGATGTTCTTTTACATTGATGAAACTTGATATAAAATGAATCTTTGCTTCTTAAATTTCTGCACTGTTCAGTTAAATTTTGTTACTTTGTTGTGAAGAGGTTTACCCAAATCAAATGAATGGAGTTTTACATCCTACTTTTCTGCACCATGTGGGCTAATGAAGACGGGTAACGCCAAGTAGGGTGCAATGAGGGAAATTTTGCTAGGACAACGGCATTACCTGCTCTTGTTTGATTTCCCACTGTTAATGTTGATTTAACGTGCACAGCCTGTAGCACACGGGACCTCTGTCTATAGTCCCATCCGAAAGACTAGACGCTTTTTCCATGTCAGCCCCTCTTACCTGAATCACTGACAGGGGTAAACCGGGTTGAAAAATACGAAGGTATTATCTAGACCTTTGTTTGAACCCTGGACCTTCACGTTAGCAAACAAACGAACAGCTATTAGACAGGATTCCCAAAAACCTAAGATGTTATCCATGTAACACTTATTGCTACAAGTAGTGACAAAGTACCAGATGGTAAACAGAATCCAAATGAACCGAAGTGGTTATCCTTTTAAAAATGGATTTATTTAACCAACCTTCAATTTGTTCTCCTTTCTGTTGACAATGACAGCTGTAATCTGCTGATCCATAAAAATCAAAATGGTGGCCAACAGGGCAGGTACGATAGCAGCTAGAGATAACCACCATTGATTCTTACCAAACGGGCTGATAAACCATTCTCGGTTTGGATTGGTTGGCTAAAATAGAGACAAAAATAGAATAAAGTTCTACACCTGACTATTCTGTTGCATTTTGGGTTAATAAAATAAATGGAGTTAAGCACCCTGCCATTTTGTATCCTAATGGACGTTTGCTGTCCTACTTTCACACTCCTTATTGAAATGAAATTTAGATCACAGTGCTATCTGTCTTTCCATGGCAATAACAGCATGCTACAATAATTGTACAATGGGGGACACTCTGCAAAATCATCAGAGATAAGCTAGGAAATTTTCTAGCTTACAAACTGCAATCAAACTTTGGCAGTAATGTTAAAGTCAACAAATTTCAGATCAAGCTTGTGGACTATTACTGAAATTAAAGATAGGGTCCCTTATTTTCATTTAAGAAAATGAAAATGCTAATACTCCAATGACTTGGAAAAATACCAGTTTGTCTCACATGTCCGTAATTAATTCATAATTAGCTAAATTAGAAGAGAATTACTAGTAAAATTCTAATGAGTGACTGATCAAGAAAGGTCAAAAAGTATTTTTTTGTTTATCCAGACTGTACATACATAGACATTTACGATTGTTAAAACTCTTAATTATATGCAATAAGAACGTAATGATATGGTTAAGAATACATGATAATTCATTAGATACACCAATTAATCAAATAATTTGCTTAATTTGACGCTGAAAAATAAGGAAAACAATCTTTAAAGATGTCTGCCAGCTAAAAACAGAAACAATTTTTTATTACTTACAGCAAATTCTGAAGGAACGTCTAATTTGGGAGTTGGAACATTGATGAGCAAGTCTAACCCAACCATAGATACTATAGCAATTAATACTGCAAAATCACTCACCACTTGTCGAGCCTAAAATGTAGATAAGGATTTATCAAGATATGAGAACTTGGTCTTTAACACACATAGAATGAGGGCCTCAGTTTTTTTACCCAAAAGCTCAACAGCTGCATTGTACATTTCAGCCCATTTGACCTGCATCACCAACAACAACAATAAGCCCAAACATCTATATCCAGTGATGTTTGTTCGACTAAAAATAAAAATAGTGGACCACCACGACATGCGGATGGTAAAAACGAAACATCCATTCTAAGTTTCATCAAATTCGGTTGAAAACTAAGAGAGTAATAGCATATTCAAGATTTTGGGGCAAGGACAATAACTCTGCTTCTAACAGTCGAATATAGCTCAAATTCAAACTTGATCTTTGTTTTATGAATATGTATACACATACCAAATTTCATTTGATTCCATCAAAAAATCTAGTTTTTAGAGCGTTTACAAGCAAATGTTGAAGGATGGATGGACAGACGGACGGGCGGACTGACGGACAGTAGTGCCAACAATATACGTCCACATAGAGATGTGGGTGTATAAAAATCAAACACTTACCGCCGTGGGGAGAAAACGGGTTTCTTTCACTGTTTTTAAGGCCAAAGAAATCAAAAATGTTCCAATGAACAAAACAACAGAAACAAAAAACACATCAGCAACGTAATGTGGAGTATAGCATCCTGGACCTTTCAAAGTTCCATTCAGATCATGACAATCTTCTATAGATACATTGCTCCAATCAGTAATGGAGGAACGGTTCTTCTTTCCAGGTCCACACCAGCATTCGTATGTTAAGTTCTGGCCTGGCATTTTGTTGAATGGATCAGAATCCAAAATATGGATCAACTTGGCGATAGCTTCGTAGATAAAGATTAAGGAAATCAGAGCAGCAAAACTCTCCTCCGTAAATCTTGTGATGAAGCGAACCAGAGCACTGAGATCAAACGCAACCATAAAGAGTAGAATGAACCCGGTCCACATTCCAATCCAGAGACGAAACTCCAGATAATCTATCTTGTTATCACTGAAAAAATAGAGATATATAACCATATTATTATCTGTACCAGTTGATGGAGCTTAATTTAGACAACAGTAAGCTCTAATGACAGATTACTGCTCTGCAATTAAGTTCTAATTACTGAAATAATGTTTTATAGCAGGTAAAGTACATACTTAGACAGCCATATTACTAGATCATTTAAAGGGACAGATGTGCCATTTTTTGACCAATCATACTTTAGTCTCAGAAACTGGAATTTTTCAGCTGAGCTAATCAGTAATAGTGTTCACAGCTCACTGTCGAAATTTGAGTCTTCAAATCCATGTGTGTCCAGAATTATCTGCGTTTGAAAGTTAAAATGACGACTTGTCAATTTAAGATACTGTGATATATAGAAAATACATATATAGAGATAGTTAGTAAAATTCCTAGTTTGAGATATTTTTAAAGGAATTATGTGATTTTCGTACATTTCCAGTACTGTTTACATATATTGAAGACTAAAATCAATCCCCAAAAATGGCACACCTGTCCCTTTAAAGAAAAATAATTTCAACTATAAAGTACTGTACTTACTGGCAAAATGAAAACAAGATTTTCTCAAATACTAAGACTGGTCCAGTTGAACCCAGTATAGTTAGAGGTTGACCGGCAAATAATGAATATGTTATACCACAAATAGAACCGGCCAGAATACTTTCTAAAGCTGCCTGAAAATAGTCACAGAGATATACAAATAAAGGAAATTTTTCCAGTCTAATTAAAATTAGACATAAAAGTTTTTCATGGTTGAACTAATGAAATGAAATGGTGTTTTATGAATGGTGTTTTATATCCTACTGTTCTGTATCTTATTGAACTAATGAAATGGAGTTTTATATCCTACTGTTCTGTATCTTATTGAACTAATGAAATGGAGTTTTATATCCTACTGTTCTGTATCTTATTGAACTAATGAAATGGAGTTTTATATCCTACTGTTCTGTATCTTATTGAACTAATGTAATGGAGTTTTATATCCTACTGTTCTGTATCTTATTGAACTAATGAAATGGAGTTTTATATCCTGTTCTGTACCTTATTGAACTAATGAAATGGAGTTTTATATCCTACTGTTCTGTACCTTATTGAACTAATGAAATGGAGTTTTATATCCTACTGTTCTGTACTTTATTGAACTAATGAAATGGAGTTTTATATCCTACTGTTCTGTACCTTATTGAACTAATGAAATGGAGTTTTATATCCTACTGTTCTGTACCTTATTGAACTAATGAAATGAAGTAGAGTTTTATATCCTACTGTTTTGTATCTTATTGGACTAATGAAATGAAACGGTGTTTTATATCCTACTATTCTGTATCTTATTGAACTAATGAAATGAAACGGTGTTTTATATCCTACTGTTCTGTACCTTATTGAACTAATGAAATGAAGTAGAGTTTTATATCCTACTGTTTTGTATCTTATTGGACTAATGAAATGAAACGGTGTTTTATATCCTACTATTCTGTATCTTATTGAACTAATGAAATGAAATGGTGTTTTATATCCTACTATTCTGTATCTTATTGAACTAATGAAATGAAATAGAGTTTTACTGTTTTGCTACAAATTATTGAAATGAAATAGAGTTTTATATTTTACTTTTCTGCTGTAAGTTGGCCTACTAAAGTTTTACATTATTTTATCTGCTCTTGATTGAGTTTAGGAAGGGACTGAACCCTGGAATTTGACATACTGCCAATGGAGGTGAATTTTCTAATATTTTGGAATTCACTGAAGAGGAGCAATCCTGAAATATAATGGGAATTTTCTTACCATGTTATTCTGAGTAGCATGACCCAACAATCCACCAAAAGTGATAATGGGCGTCAGACATGCAAAATACAGGAAAATAAAGGAAGCTAAGGACTGGACATGGATAGCATCCTTAAAATCTGATGGCCAAAATGGAACTTTTCTTTTAATATCATCAATTAAACCACCAAAAAATCTACAAAAGAGATAACAGAATATGAATATAAGAAAAACCAATTACTGGAGAAATCCTGGAATCCAATTGCATTGTTTCATTGCAATTCATGACAATATTTGCTTGAGAAAGTGGTAGATGCCTTATCTAATCCTCCTGGTAAAAATGAGAGAATCTTGTGTCTGATATTATGAAAGTGGATTAAAGGGGAATGTGTACCAATTTCACAGCTCACTATAAAGATTTGAGCCTTCGAATCCATGTGTGTCCAGAATTATCAGCATCTTCAGACACTGCCATATATAGCAAAGACATCTATAAAAACAAGACATGAAATTCCTAGTTGAGATATTTTTCATGGAATTTCTAGAAGTTCTGAAGACTATTTCCATATATGCAAGATCCAAATCAACCCAATATGGTGCACCTTTCCCTTTAAACAGAATGGGAGAGTATGAATAACGTTGTTATGCCTGTTTTCAGAAAAAGGAAGAATTTATGCCGTCTGCTCTGAAACTTACCGTCCAGTTCTCACTAAAGTTAGATCAGTATGTTCATTTTCTTCTTCATCTAATACAGCTTTTCCATTTGGTAGAGAATTCGCCATCTTTCGACCCTCCTGTAAATAATGATCAACACATATACTTAATGAAACTTGCACTGTTCCTAATTTGGATTAATTTGAAATCATCATCATCATCATCATCATCATCATCATCATTAATGATTTATAATTGAGAAACCATAGAAAGTAAAGATTTTTGAATTTTTTCAGGTTTTCCTTATTTTTTTATGTCTATCAGGAATAGTATATATTTGCACCATTCCAATTTCCAATCAGACGTCTGTAGTTCCTGCAGTTCCACCAAAACTAAGTGTTCTATGACATCACTAATCGCAAAAAAGAAAATCTAGAAAACCTCTTTACAATCCCTTTAAGAAAATAGGAATTTTAGCTTTAAAATAGTTCTTAGAGTCCTAGAATGTCTTTGAGTTTATAATATTTTGTAAGTTTGTATTGAAAAGAAACACATTTCTATCCTAGAAATTTCAACCAAAGCAAAAAAATTTGGTATAAGTTTATATTTTATATCAACGCAAAGACTTTCTAAGACTAACAGTATTATTTAGAGACTGCCATTAGAAAGCTGGTTTGGATTGAAATTGGGACTTGTTGAACAGGAGCGAAAAAGACGTTTACCTGTGAAGGAACACTTTTGGGAGGTTCAATTCTAATGCTAGGGTCCCATTCACCAGGAGGCAGCACTGTTACTTGATCTAAAAATTCATCAATACCCGCCAATAAATCTTCACGGTTTCTAGCATGGTATGCAACATCGTGAAAAATCTAGAAAAAAGAAAATAATTGGAGTTTTACATCCTGTTATAAACCTTATAGGGCTTATGAAATAAAATGGAGTTTTATATCCTACTGTTCTGTATCTTATTGAACTAATGAAATGAAATGAAGTTTTATATCGTACTGCTCTGTACCTTATTGGGCTTATGAAATAAAATGGAGTTTTATATCATCTTGTTCTGTACCTTATTAGACTAATGAAATGAAATGAAGTTTTATATCGTACTGCTCTGTACCTTATTAGACTAATAAAATGAAATAGAGTTTTATATCCTACTGTTCTGTACCTTATTAGGCTAATGAAATGAAATATAGTTCTATATCCTACTGTTCTGTACCTTATTGGGCTAATGAAATGAAATATAGTTTTATATCCTACTGTTCTGTACCTTATTAGGCTAATGAAATGAAATAGAGTTCTATATCCTACTGTTCTGTACCTTATTTGACTAATGAAATGAAATAGAGTTCTATATCCTACTGTTCTGTACCTTATTAGGCTAATGAAATGAAATATAGTTTTATATCCTACTGTTCTGTACCTTATTAGGCTGATGAAATGAAATGGAGTTTTATATCCTACTGTTCTGTAACTTATTGAACTAATGAAATGAAATATAGTTTTATATCCTACTGTTCTGTATCTTATTTGACTAATGAAATAAAATGTAGTTTTATATCCTATTGTTCTGTACCTTATTTGACTAATGAAATGAAATGGAGTTTTATATCCTATTGTTCTGTACCTTATTTGACTAATGAAATGAAATGGAGTTTTATATCCTACTGTTCTGTATCTTATACTATTAACATCAAAATGAGTTTTACATCCTACTGTTCTGTACCTTATAGCAGTAATGAACACCAGAAGAATGCAATGATAAAAATTAACAATTTTGCTTTTTAAGAAAAAAGCATAGCTTACCTCGTCTGACATGAGAGTGGCAATGGATCTTCCCATTTCATGATAGCGATTCTGGTTTCCAGGGGGACCCAGCAGGATGAACAAAAATCTTGAGGGAACAGGAACTTCTGTCAGATCACCTAGCAACACAGCTTTAGACAAACGGACAAAAGCCACAATCTGGTGATTCAAACAGTCAACCTCTCCCACCATAATATTCGAGGCTTCTGCTCCAGGTGGGATCTTCTTCATAAAATGCAGATTCTGGAAAAAATTCGAAAAAAAGATTTTAAAATGAATCTCATCAGATCATAGTATCAAGTATAGTTTGCTTTAAAGGGACAGGTCCGCCATCAATTTGACCAATCATACGTTTAGAATTCTTTTAGCTAAGCTAATCTGTAATAGTGTTCAAAATTGTCAAAATTTGAGCCTTCAAATCCATGTGTGTCCAGAAAAATCTGTGTTTGAAAGTTAAAATGATGTCTTGTCTTTTCTTGAGGCTCTGCCATTTAAAAAAAAAGACATTTAGAAATAGAAAATGAAAATTCCTAGTTTGAGATATTTTTGAAAGAATTATGAGATTTTCGTATATTTCTGCTACTTCTGAAGATTATTTACATATATTCAAGACCTGAAATCAACTCCCGATAATGGTGAATCTGTACCTATAAGATTTTTTTTTTCTTTTTGATCAAATTGTCCAAACATATATGCCACAAAAATGCTTGACAAAAACACATGAAACTTTCATGCCAGACATTGACAACAGTCAGCCAGGAATAATAATCAACCATATATACAATACAGCATTATTGCATACAGCAATTTTTAGGAAGAAAGTAAAAAATGTAAATTTTCAAGAAAAAAAAATGTACATTTTTAGTAACGAAATATGTACATTTTAAGAAAAAAAAATGTACATTTTAAGAAAAAAATTGTTAATAAATCTAAGAAAAATATTGGTGTAAATATCTCAGCAAAGTGTAAAATCTTATTGAATCATTAATATATATAGGCAAAGTTAAAAGAAAATTATCATGAATTTATAAGCCAATATTTACAAATTAAGAATTTTTTTTTCGTCTTTTTTGAATTTTTTTTTTTGGAGATGTATATTTGATATTTGAAGCCAATTTGACATAAAAGCACATAAAATAGGAATATTTAGAAAAAAATATTATTAAAGCTAGCTAGATAAAGCTTTACCCATCCCTGTCAGTACTTTTGTCAAAATTCAACTGCAACTTTAACCTGAATTTCATTAATCAACATACTATGACCAAGTTTCATTCGAATCTTTATCCATATTAAATAGCAGCCTGTATCATGCTAACAAGCTGATTTTAAAGTCATTAAAGGCATAGTCAGGTTTTATAACTTAGTATTCGCTGATCAAATTCAAACTTATCTGAATCTAAGTGAAGTTTCAGTCAAATCAAAGAAAATCCTATCTTGGGTCAATTTAATAAAAAAAAACTCAATGCTCAATTGATGAGCAGATTGGGCAAAATGCATCAAGGTGTGTCAAGGTGCCTTTTGGCATAAGGTGTGTCAAGGTGCCTTTTGGCGTTAAGGTGTATCAAGGTGCCTTTTGGCATTAAGGTGTATCAAGGTGCCTTTTGGCATAAGGAGTGTCAAGGTGCCTTTTGGCATCAAGGTGTGTTAAAGGGCCTCAAAGTGTGTCAAGATGCCTTTGATTTGATGTGTCAAGATGCCTTTTGTTTTGGTGTGTAAAGGAGCCTCTTTCTTGTGTCTCACTGATTAAGAAAGTATTAATATAACCCACCTAAAAATTACCTGTGAATAAGCTGGCATAAAGCTGATAGATAAATCAAAGCATCAGGGGCAATAACTCTATAAAACCTACCTTACTTAATGAATCTATAGGACTCACTTTATGGGAGGCGTTTTCTGGCAGATTTACACTGGAATCTTGGTGAGCGAAAGATGAACTCGTTGTGATTCCACCATTTTCCGTTCCATTTCCACTGGCATTCCGCGCCATATTCAAAATATTTGGTGAACTTTTGGCTCCAAGTCTGTCTTCCGCTGAAAAAAATAATAATGGTGAAAAAATAAATTTTTTTTAGTAATTGTTAAAGTAGAGCAAAGATATGTACAGGTACAGTCCATTTTATCTTAAGGTAGTTTATAGTACTTTAAACTATACAAGTTAGACTAGTGTCTTATTGATTACTGCTCATTCTACCTAAAAAAAAAATGGAATGTTCCTGTTTTGAATCACCCTTGAATCTTTGCAACTCTCAACATGAAAAAATTGACAAGAATTTTAAAATAAAAAACAAAAAATACATTTGACTATTCTAAAAGTGCAATTTACTTGACAAACCAGAATCTAATTTTTTTCGTCCACAAGATTCTAACATTTAATTTTCTATGACTATGTGGACTCTCTTTAAAAGGGCAACATGTAAACCAATATTAACTAAAACAATTTTATTAAAAACTATAAATGAACCAAAAAAGATTTGTAACAGGAGATGAGATAAAATAATATAAAATGCAGATATAATAATAATGTGCCAATCTTGTGTTATGCATAAAATTTGTTTGATTCTACGCAACTAGCTCTAAGACTACATTATTTCTACCTTCTAAAAAGAAAACCAGACGTAGTATCTATATTCTGTGTTCAAAAACTGAAACCCCTGAGCCCTACTTTACAAAAATCTCTTAGAATACAGTTTTAACTTTGCTTTTAAATATAAATGTGTCAAAAATATCAAGTAAAATGGCCCACACTCAAATTCTAAGGCCATTCTAGAGACATACAGTGTATTTAAACATTCTGCAATAATTTTAGTCTTTGTGCTTTTCCCTTTACATTTACTGGTCATGTCCAGCTGGGTCACTAACACAGACTGTGCTCTATAGAGACACCTGTTTTCATTTCAACAAGACTTTTCCAAAATTTAATAATCGCACTGTCCAGGAAAGAAACCCGAAATCAATATCCCTTTCAAAGTAATAAGTTTCTGGACATTTACTGTACCAAACATAAAATTCTGGCACTGAAGCTGAAAGCTGAATTTTAAGCTTACTTGTAAGCATTTTATCACTTATTAAGCACTACATCTAATTTATCCTACATCTAGGCAAGGGGAGGGGATGTCTCTGGCCAAACTAAGGGTAGATAACCCTTTCTACCTTTTCGCTTCTTTTTGCCCTTTCTAAAGTCAAGAAGATCCATAGAGCCTACAAATATTGGACAAAGATTGGTAATTGAAATCTAATATACCAATGCTTTGACATTGAGACTCATTTACAAAAATTTCTTCTGTTCAACGAGTTTTTATGTTTTGCTACATCTTCCTTCCGAAACATCTGCTCTGATATCAGCAGGAATAAGGGAGCTCAATCTAATCAAAATTAGATTATCATTTTTTTTTTTGTCCTTCTCCATTGTAATCTAGCGAGATTTATTCCAAGGTCATGTACTAGTGATGTTTCGAACATATAATCACGCATCACTCTCCAACCAATTATAGAATCACTTTTACAAGCGAGTATCTCATAATCTCATTGGTCATATCGCTCTACTTAGGGTTACGCTATCCCACAATTCATAGTCAGAAAACTCCCTTCACATCAAATTTCTAAAGGTAAAATAACAACAGTAAAGTTAAATAATGAGGACAATTAGAAATGGGTTGCCATGGAGATGAAAATAGGATATTTGACAACAAAATTTAACATAAAATCTTTCTCGTTCTTATCTTTGCTGGGTTTTGGTGCATTAGCAGTTTGATCTAAATACAGAAATTGATGCATAGTTTCGTATTTTTACTACAGGTAACTTCACTCCATCTAGGATCTGGCAAAATTATTCTTAAAATCAAGTTCAGGCAAATTTTAACCGAATAACTTTAGATCATGGATGGCACGTGTAATTTTACAATAGAAAAAAGATGAAGCCAAACATCCAGATCTATATCTTATCTCAAAAATGGTGCAATATATATTTAACAACAGTTTTTCAAAAATGCTGGGATTCAAATATTTTTCCATTTTTTTTAAAGTAAAGCAATTTTGAACCATTTAATGCGCACAAATATCAAATCACAGGACTTGTGGATCCCCAATGCTGGAATAATTGCAACTACATGTGACAGACTTTCAGAGCAGAAAGGCTTGTAGTGCCTTTGAAAGGGGATTTCAACCCTGAAACTCAGCAGTCATGAGCAATTTCCCTTTTGATGGAACCCTGAGGCAGGAATTGCAGCAGTTAGATACAAAAAATTTGGTCCAACAAACTCAATATTTTTCAATTTTGGAAATATGCAAATAAGCTTGTTCTAGAACAATTTTACTCTTAACTTGATTGTGAAGAGGTTTTCTAATTTTGTTTATGTATTGGGGACTCTGATAGCATCAATTTGCACCATTCCAATTTTCAATCAGATGTCTGTGGTTCCTGCAATTCCACTAAAACTAAGTCAACAAATTGATGCCATCGGTGTCCACGATACACATAAAAAAATTAGAAAACCTTTTCACAATTCCTTTAACTGGAGCAACAATCTAAACGCATTCACCTGAAAAAAAAAGTTGTCTGCATACAACAAATGATAACTCAAACATAAACTGTGTGCATCGAAGTCATTCCAAGTTCAAAAGGTCATTAGAGAAAAGCTGAAACAAGATTTAGCCATGCTTAAGGCATCTACGAATATGTTCAAAAATTAACAAATTCTCTAAAAAAGGCAAAAAAATCTACATTAAAGATATCTTAGTCAGTGATTTTAACAACAAAGCATGAAATTGAATTCTGAAACCTCATTTTTTAATTTTTTTTTCTAGATTAATATAAATCTATCACTTAGAAATCTTGTAACTAAAATCTTATGGGGGACAGATGCGCCATTTTTGGGGGTTGATTTGAATCTTGAATATATGTGAATAGTCTTCAGAAGTACGAGAAATGAACAAAAATTGCATAATTCCTTCAACAATTTTTAAAACTAGGAATTTCTTTTTCTATTTCTATAGATGTCTTTAATATATATGGCACTGTCTCAAGAAAAGACGACTCATCTTTTTAACTTTCAAACATAGATAATTCTGGACACACATAGATTTGAAAGCTCAAATTTCGACAGTGAGCTGTGAACACTATTACTGATTAGCTTAGTTAAAATAATTCCCATTTTTGAGGTTATGTTGAGATTACTCAAAAAATGGCGCATTTGTCCCTAAAAATTACTGTGTCTAACAAGAAGCTTGAATTTGATTGGTCAATATTATCACTATAAAAATATCGACCAATCAGTTTGAAGTATTTTACGTTTTATTACGTTGTATTATTTGAAAGTTACAATATCTGACAACAAGATTTCAATCTGATTGATCAATTACAGTAACCTCAACCAATCAGAATAGCGTTCTTATTTAATGATCAATTGAAAACTACGATGATTACAAAACCAAAAGGTACTAGCCCTTTAATTGTTGAGTTAAAATTTCAGAATTCAAATTAAGTACACAAGTTATGTCACACGAATATCAACTATATATAAAATGATAGTAAAAATAATGACAAGGGGAAATAACTCTGTAATCTCTACCTGCTACAGTTAATAAATCCTCCCCTGTAAAAAAAGGTCAAATTTTCTATCTTTAAGTGTTAAGAGTGTTACATTGAACACAGTTTGAACATTGTTGTTGGCATCATTTGAAGCAAATTGGTCAAATATACATCTTCCACCAATCAAAATTTATCAACAGAATATCAGCTTCTTGCATCAAGGGTCATATGCCAAAATCTCTTAGTACCTTTGATGGAGCAAATGAATTTTGAAAATGAAAGTTGGGCAGTGCTTTCTCTCCTTTTCAGAAATATCGAAATTTGTTTTTTTGTTTTTTTTAGATTAGGTTCATCACTGTGACCTTGGCCAGTGCTTCTATAGGAAAGTATCTTCTATAACACCCAATACTGTGCTTAATGAATTCAAAAAATGCATGCATCTGTCTCTTTTGACCAAACCTATTTTGCCAAGACCCATAACCATCTCCATCAAGTGACTTGTGCAATCAAGACTACACTGGACCTACAGGAAGCAATACTAACGAACCTACGATTTTAAATTGAAAAAAAAATAGCTAATATTGGACAAAAAACTCTAAAAAATAAGGAAATTACAGAAATGTATCGTAAACATATAAGCTAAGAAAAGTCTTTGACAATAAAATGTCTCAATGCTGAACCCATTCCAGAGAGAATCTGACAATATGTGTAAGAAAAATAAGTTCAGAATTGAAATAAAATTGATCCAATCAATGCTCATGTGAGTAAAAGATGTATCACTTATTAAGAATTTCGGAATATTCTTTGAGATTAAATGCATAATCATTTATCTGTACTTAAAACATTAGTTTTCATAGTAAAACATAGTTCAACACATATCAGGTCAAAGTTCAAACCTAATAATCTGAACACAATTCTAAAGGAGACATTGTCAGATTTACCAAGAGTAATCAATCCATGAAAAAAGAAAAATTAATTTAAATCTGTAGCTTAATAGCATTTGATTTTCAAATTCTAAAAAATTTTTGATTAAGAAATCTCAAATTACCTCCTTGCGTGGCCAGTCCCTTTGGTTCTGAATATTTCTTGCCAATGTCGGCCAAAGATCTGATTATGGGTAAATGCATTTTACTACTGAGCGTATCCTGTCGGTGTTTTTTCTCGTTTTGATGTCGATGACGTAACGTGATGACGTCATAGATTTGATCTTGTAAATTGTCTTCAAGTTGTTTCGATGCCACCATATTGTCCAATACCATTCCTGAAAGTAATCGGTACCACAGATGTATGATTCAGGGTTCATACAGCACTTTGCCTCAAAAATTCAAAGACTTTTCAAGGACTCTGGGCTTCGAAATTCGAGAACTTTTCAAGGATATTAGTCTGACAGAATACACATGTACCTAACTTCTGAACTGTGAAATCAATAAAGATAGTTAATATTTGTCAATGGGGTTAATAATAAAAATATACACAATTTGACTCAACTCAAAATTCAAGGACTTTTCAAGAGAAAATGGGTTTTTTATGGTGTTTTCAAAGACTTTTTTTTTATCAAGGTTTTTCAATCCAACGGACGGAATTCAAGGGTTTTTCAAGGCTGTGCGAACCCTGTGATCAAAGGAATGGAATTGTATGTCCGTCTATTCTGCTATGACTTGGCATCTGCATGTAGTGTTCTATGAGAAAAACGTTGTTTGGAAGGAAACTACAACTTTCTTCCAGAATTCGTATCACAGAATTCACCCCTTTTGCGATACAATATTTCTGCGGATCAAATCAAATTGCATATTTTTCGTGAGAAATTCTTTACCAAATCTAGAAATACAGTGGAGCCTCGTTTATCCACAGATTTCCGTTGGTATTCAGGTATGATTGAACGAAAGATGACATTGAAGATAAACTGAACGATTAATGGTATTCAGGTATGACTGAACGAAAGATGACATTGAAGTATAACTGAACGATTAATGGTATTTAGGTATGATTGAACGAAAGATGACATTGAAGTAAAACTGAACGATTAATGGTATTCAGGTATGACTGAACGAAAGATGACATTGAAGTATAACTGAACGATTAATGGTATTTAGGTATGATTGAACGAAAGATGACATTGAAGTAAAACTGAACGATAAATGGTATTCAGGTATGATTGAACGAAAGATGACATTGAAGTTTAACAGAACGATTAATGGTATTCAGGTATGACAGAACGAAAGATGACATTGAAGTATAACTGAACGATGAATGGTATTTAGGTATGATTGAACGAAAGATGACATTGAAGTAAAACAGAACGATTTATGGTATTCAGGTATGATTGAACGAAAGATAGCTTACACGTAATGATTAAATTAATTGCTTAATCTCATGAGGATTTATTAAACACCAATCACGTGACATCATAAATACCGCTAATCTGGAAGCCAGTTAGAAGAACTCAGAGTAACACGTGACCGGAAACTGGAAACCGGACCACCGGATTAACGGTTACTTTTATAAATATTCCGTTCCCAGTAAAAAGCATGCAGATATCGGGTTTCTTTTATACTTACTAATAACTAAACTTAAAGATGGGGCGTCCATGTCCAACATAACAGTGCCATTCAAGATACTACAACGTAACTCAAACAATGAATGAAGAGACAACGTAGCCACATGAGGTTTGGACCATCTCTCTCCTCCCTCTTCTACATCTTCTTCAAACTTTATCCATCTGGAAAACACAAATTATTTAAATGTCACGAGAGGACTGAAAGGGATAGATTGGCTATTTTGGGGGTTGATAATTGGGTCTTGGATATAAGTTATAGTCTTCAGAATTACTGAAAAAATACATTTTCTACTTCTAAATGTGTCTTTTCTATATCACAGATTATCAAAAGATATCATGCGGATGGTAAATATTCAAGATTTTGGGGCAAGGGCAATAATTCGAACTTGATCTTCGTTTTAAGAATATGTATACACATACCGAATTTCATTTGATTCGATCAAAAAATCTTGTTTTTAGAGCATTTACAAGCAAATGTTGACAGACGGATGGACGGACAGGGGTGCCGACAATATACATCCACATAGAGAGATGTGGGCTTATAAAGACCACTTGTCTTTGTAATTATGGACACACATGGATTTGAAGGCTACCTTAGTACAAATCTGGTATGACGTATTGATCAAGGAATTTAACCCTGAAGTCCTCTGAATCTCATAGTGCAAATGAAGACGGTCAATGCCAAGCAGTGTACAATGGAGGAAATTTTGCTATGACAGCATTACAAACCTGGCTGTTTCCTTCCATTCCTGTTTTTCCCCATCATTAAATAATTCTGTCATCTCACAGAAGAGATCATGGGCTCTGTGTTCATCATCTTCTTCTTCTCCCAAAATAAACTGTACTCTTTGTGATGGAGGAGTGGCTATAAGCAAAAACAAAATCCGTTAATTTCAAGTTTTACTCAAATAAAAAGAAAATTTGGCATATAGAGAAAAAGAATTCAAAGGTTCTTTGTTATCTTTTTCAAAACAAAATGCAACTTTCAGATATCAAAGGACATTGCATTTGTACAATTTCAAATCTTTCCTAACACTATAACAGCATTGTGGGGGGGTGGACGGATTTTGAAAGACAAGAGTGCCTTGTCTTATTGTATATAGTCATATATAATAAGAATGGTTGAAGTAACCCACAGAAAATATACTAAACAAATTATCTTAATCTCTTTTTGAAATACCATACATTTGGATTTGGGAACATTGAGCCACCCATAGATAATAAATGAAGTTGAAGTTTTATCAAAAAAGTGAAGTTACCCACTTAATATATATGCAACAAAATATCTAGACAGCTGTAGATTGTCTTAAGTAACCCACAGAAAATAAATGAAACAGAATAACTAAGAGTTGTAATTTACTTAGGTTTGAATAGAAGAAAGTTCAACTAATATGCAATAATGGTTTGCATAATTTATAGAATGTAGGATAGATACAATATCAATTTAGGGGAGAAGGGAAAGGGGGGTCACAAATTAAAGGAAGAGATACTAAATTTCTTCTAAAATATAGAATAGTCAAATGGCACGCCTACTATAATCTATATAATACATGCAAAATACAATTAAATCATTCTAGATAGTCATCTTAATATTTACTGGCAATATCAATATTGGTAGACACAAGTCTTCTTGTCTAGTCTAGAATATTGTTTTAGTCTAGTCTAGAATATTGTGTTTAATGTAAATATTGTCTAGTCTAGTCTAAAATATTGTGTTTAATATATATAAATATAGTCTAGTTTAGTCTAGAATATTGTTCTAGTTTAGTCTAGAATATTGTTTTAGTCTAGTCTAGAATATTGTTTTAGTCTAGTCTAGAATATTGTTCTAGTTTAGTCTAGAATATTGTGTTTAATATAAATATGGTCTAGCTAGTCTAAAATATTGTGTTTAATATTAATATGGTCTAGTATAGTCTAGAATATGGTGTTTAATATTAATATGGTCTTGTTTAGTCTAGAATATTGTGTTTAATATAAATATAATCTAGTCTAGTCTAGTCTAGAATATTGTGTTTAATAAAAATATGGTCTAGTCTAGTATATTATGTTTAATATAAATATAGTCTAGTCTAGTCTAGAATATTGTGTATAATATAAATATAAACTAGTCTAGTCTAGTCTAAAATTTTGTGTTTAATATAAATTTGATTTAGTTTAGTCCAAAAAAATATCATTTTGAATATAAATATGGTCTAGTCTAGTCTAGAATATTGTGTATAATATAAATATAATCTAGTCTAGTCTAGTCTAAAATTTTGTGTTTAATATAACTTTGATTTAGTTTAGTCCAATAAAAAAAATATCATTTTTAATATAAATATGGTCTAGTTTAGTCTAGAATATTATGTTTAATATAAATATAATATAATATAGTCTAGTCTTGTCTAAAATTTTGTGTTTAATATAAATATTGTCTAGTTTAGTTTAAAATATTGTGTTTAATATAAATATAATCTAATCTAGTCTAGTCTAAAATTTTGTGTTTAATATAAATATTGTCTAGTTTAGTCTAAAATATTGTGTATGTATGGTATAAATATGGTCTAGTCTAGTGTAAAAAATATTGTGTTAAATATTAATATTGTCTAGTCTAGTATATTGTGTTTAATATTAATATGGTCTAGTCTAGTCTAGTCTATTGTGTTTATTATAAATATGGTTTCATGATCCATTTATTTCTGTTCTGATCAGAAAAATCTGTTATTGCATTAGTGAAGCAAAAATGATTTTTGCAAAGAAGCAAAAAATATTAAATTTGCAAAAAGCAATTCATGGTAATCAAATTTGCAAAAAAGCAATTCATGGTAATCAAATTTGCAAAAAAGCTAAATATCAAATCCAACACAATAAAATTATATAAAATACATAACTATATGATTAACTATTTCAGGTTAGATTGAGAATAAGCCACAGTTTTAAATATATATATTTCCAGAAAACTTGCTGATCTATCAAATGACATCGAATTTCTCACTCAATTTTCATCTCCTGTAGATATTAAAGAGAGACACCAAATATGCTGTGTGTAATGAGGGAAATTTTGTCAAAAATTGTCGATTGAATATGGCCATTAGCAAGCAGTGAACAATGAGGTAAATTTCACAAGGGCACCACCAACAGCTCATTCTGTTTTTATTTCTCTCTTTCTCCTAAGGTATCTTAGTAATGTGCTAAGTTTGCACTTTAGTTAATTGTCGTAACTACAAGCTCTTTCCATGTCAGCACCATCAAACAATGACAGGGGGAAAGCAAGTAACTCTATATATCAATTGTCAAGAGATCTTTAGCCTGAACAGGCTATAGCACAAGGTTAATGGCAATTGATCCCTGAATGTTCACTGTTCAGTGCAGGCCATCTTCTTCTAAAAATTCAAAACTGTGGCTGATACTCAAGAAAAGACAGAAGAACAATGTTATAACTCTAAATATCAAAAGATATAAAAATCTTACGAGTAACTTGGCCTAGAAAATTCAAAATAGTGAAAAAGTTAATAAAAGGAAAGAATATAAAAATCTAATATCATTATAAAAGAGAAAAATTAAAATAGAAAATCTAAAACTGCATCTATCATAATTATATTCAATTACAAATAATTCAGAATTCATCTCAAATCTAAATACTGACTGGTAAAAAAATCAACAGCACAGAGCTCTTGTCAAACAGTCTGAAGCTAGACTGGTAAATAAAGTCATATCAACATCCCTTAAACAGCTATTAATGCAGTTTTCCACAAAAGATCTTTATATTGGACTTAACATTTGACACAAGACAAACAATACAAAAGACGATGTACATAGAATGAACAATCAGGGGAAACCAGGGGAATTTAGGCCACAAGATTTAATGGGATATAGTCATTGAAACGTTTTCTTTTTTCATCTATCCATAGCACTTTTCAGAATTGAAATCTGAAGCTTGGTTTCTGAACTTTTGGACTTTTACAACTACTACTGGTGTTACATATACCTAGTTGCAGGCAGACATCAAATTCCAATTCTGGAATCAAGTGATACTGACAGCTGAAGTAAAGGTAACAGCTCATAAGGAAAATGTCAAGTTAACTATATCCTTTTAAAGATGGGTTCCCTTATTTTCATTTCTGGAAATGAAAATGATAATACTTATATGAATAGAAAGTAAAGGTGTTCTAATGACTTGGAAAAATACCAGTGTGTCTCACATGTCCATAATTAATTCATAATTAACTAAATTAGAAGAGAATTACCAGCAGAATTCCAATGAGTGACCAATTAAGAAAGGTCAAAAAGTCTTTTTTTGTTCATCCAGACTGTACATACATGGACATTTATAATTGGTTAAAACTATTAATTATATGCAATAAGAACATAATGATATGGTTAAGAATACATGATAATTTATTAGAAACACCAATTAATCAAATAGTTTGCTTAATTTGACACTCAAAAATAAGGAAACCCATCTTTAAGAACACCTGAGGGTATCAATTTTGTGTAATTTGTCAGCAAGGATTTTTGTGCAACAAATATTTGAAGGGTGGATTTTTAATGAAATTGAAAGAATCTAATAAAATACGATTTGAAGGCATGCAATTATTATATATATTAAGGACTCCAATGTTTGACATGTAAGTAATTTCTTGCAAGTACAGCCTACTGATTTTGAGCTCATCCATCTCATTAATTAATTTTTCTTCCTACTTTTCTGAACCTTATCAAGCTTATGAACACAGATATCGTCATGCAGTTTGCAATGAGGGCAGATTTGCTAATATAACCAATACCAATACTGTCCAACTGTCGGTATATTTTTTAACATGTAAAGCCCGTTACAAACACAGTCTCAGTTAATTGTCCAATCTAAATAACTTGGATGTAAGAAATTCAAGCATTTGACTCAATTGCAAGACATAAAAAAAAAAAACTTTTCTAGAAAGTTTCACAATCCAAAGTTGTCAAAGTATTAATAAAATTAGCCATTAGATGAAAATAATTGACATACAAAGTTAGATAATCCAAATTACACATATAAAATATAAAGATTACAGACCACACTTAAATAGTAGATATTAAACCACACACAATAAAATTGTAAAATATTTTTAAAAATAATAAAAAAAACGATCATTTATAAATAAAATTATCAAAATATTTCGCCAAAATTTAATTACCATACCCAAAATAACAATGTTAACAAAATGTACATGAAATGAAATGGAGTTTTACATCCTACTGATCAAGTTTGGGCCAATGACGACAAGGCAAGACAATTCAGTAAAGGAAAATTAATATTGTGTTTTGGATATATACTGCAATTGAAAGTATCCCCTTAACTATGATGACAATTCGCACAAGGCCAATTCCAACTGTTTTTTTTATCGATATTGAGGGTATGCCGATGTAAATTTTGCCGATATATTCGGATGATTTAAACAATTACTTTCTTGTATTGTCTCCAGATTGTGCTTGTGGTGAGCTGGTAAAAAAATAAAAATAAAAACAATTGGCTAAGCGACAAAAACAAAATGCTTGAAATTCAATAACAAAATCCAAACTCGCAAAAATTTCTGCTGATGATCCTAAGGACCAGATGAAAAAGTTATAGTACAAATGAACTTAGAAATAGAAATTGAATTGTATCAGAAAAACAATTGGACATCATGAAGCCAAGTTTTACTGGAATGACAGGAAATCATTGCATTGTTTTGAATTTGTAAATAGATGAAAATCAACTTATAATTTTGTTTTGAATTTGTAAATAGATGAAATCCACTTATATTTTTGTTTTAAATTTGTAAATAGATGAAATCCACTTATAATTTTGTTTTAAATTTATAAATGTAGGAAATCAACAAAAAATTCTGTTAAAATTGTA